CCCCCTACAGTCCGGGCGTTGACCTAAAGAACCCTAAATAAGGAACGAGGCCCATACCTAAGGAAAACCTAAGGCAAACTGCGAAACAATTAGGAACACGGAGCCCCTCCCCACCGGAGGGGGTTCCTTCTCCAGCGCCCCGACTGTAGGGGACCCGAGAAGCCCCAAGGAGGTCCCGAAGAGGCTCCCGAGAGGCACGGCGGCCCTCAGAAGCCCCCAAGCGGCCCCCAAGCGGCCCCCAGGAGGCCACCAAGAGGCCCCCGTTTCCTCCTCCTGCTCCTCCTCCTCCCCCTCCCCCTCCTCCTCCTCCTCCGTCTCCTCCCTCTCTTCCTCCGTATAGCAGCGCGAGAACCACATTTTGAAAACCACAGGCCCTCCATCGGTTAAACTGTTGTCAATGTTCAAGCCTCAAGGTCATACGTGGCCAGAAAGTCTGAGGGGAAACGCCCGGCCCGCCCTTTCGACTGGCCTCGGGGTGCGACAGGGAGGAATTATATTTATAAGGAACACGAATGGAGGAGGACAAGAATGCGGAAAAAGAGCAGGCATCTTGAGGCCCTGGAGCCTCCTGGGGGCATCCTGGGAGCCTCTTGGGGTCCTCTGTGGCTCTGTGGGGCCTATTGGGGGCTTCCTGGTGCTGGTGCCTCTTGAAAGCCTCCTGAGGCCTCTCGGGGGCCTGTTGAGAGCCTCTCGGGGGCCTCTGAGGGACCTCTTGGCCTTCGGAGGCCTTCTTGGGGCACTCTCTGGGCAATCGTGGGTCCTTCTCTGGGCGCTTTAGGACCGTACTGGAGGACAGTGAATTCGTCTTATGGGCCTCTTGAGCTGTCTTAGGGGTGCTCTTGAGCCGTCTTGCCGTCTTATTTGCCTCTTATTTGCCCCTTCAGCCGTCTTGGGACGATCTGAGGGGCCTATGGGGCATCCTGAAGCTTCAGGAGCCCGAAAAGGAGAGAACGCTACAATCATTGAAGAACCTACGGGAAATCAATGATGTTGGCCTTCTGGAAATCCTCTTGGAGCCCTCCTCAAGCGTCCTGGGGGCTTTTAGAATGCCTGGAGGACATGATTGGGCCGTCTCGGGGCAATCTTGGCAGTCTTGGAAGCGTTTTCGGACCATCTTGGAGGTCATCTTGGACCATTGTGGCCGTCTTGGAGGCATCTTGGAGGCCATCTTGGGTCCTGGTGGCCGTCTTGGAGGCGTAAAGGGCCTCGCCTCCCACCTTTTGGGAACTCTTTGGGTGGCCAGCCCCCACAACCAACCTTGAAAAGGACCAACGAACCTTGAAAAGCTTGGCACGACGTGCGCCCCTGTGGCAAGACCACACATGGCGGCGGATCTATACTGGCATTCGGCACATCCCGCCACCGTGCCTGGGTTGTGGGTCAGAGACTGCTTGCATACCTGCTGGGGGCTCTTGGCATTCTCCTCGGACACTTCTTGGAGCCAGTTTTGAGCTCTTTTAGAAGCCCATTAGGAGCCTCTTGAGGCCTCTTCTGGGGCTCTTGGGGGGCTCGTGGGGGCATGCTGGCGGTCTCGGGGGTCCACTTCGGGCGGAGTGCTCGAACCCCCCAAAAGCAGATATACTAAAAATGCCATGCTTCCTTGCGCGATGGTGCGGTTTTGGCTTCCTGGGGCCCTCGGGGGGGACATCTTGAAACCTTCTTGGGCCGTCTTTGGGGCCTCTTGGCCACCGTCTTGGAAGCATCTTTGCAATGCTGGGAGCCTCCTAGGTGAGCCTGGGAGGCTCTTGGGACCCAAGTCTTGGGACCGTCTTGAAACCCTCTTGGGTCGTCAGGGGCTCCTTCGGAGGCCGTCCTCGGTACTCTTGGAGCTCTCGCGGGGCAGTCCTGGGCCATCTTGGGGCAATGTTGGGGCTCTCTTGGGGACCTTTTGAGGCTCCGGGGCCATCTCGGAACTACAATGCCTCAACAAATGAAAACTAAGCAATTTTTGAACATATTAATATCCTGCAACTTTTGACTGATTGGGCCCCAAAAAAATCCTCTGTGGGTGCACTGGCAGCTTCTTGTAAGACTGACTTGGGCCCCTGTGCGGCGCTGATAGCCTCCTGGGGGGAGTCCTGGGGCCTCTTGGAACCGCCCTCTGGAGACTTCTGCAGATCTTCGGGAGCCTCACGGGGGAGCCCCGGGGAGGCTCCAGGGAGGCTCCGGGAGGGGAGGGACTAGGGGACCCTGGGTGCCCCTGGTGGGCTGCGGCTCATGGGGTCCTCGGCACACGTCTCCCGCATGTCCAACTTCGAATGCGCCCAGCGCAAAACGCCCGCGCGCGGCCACCTCCCATGCTCGTGCAAACATCCCAGCCACCCAGCCGCGATTCGTTGGCAACGCTCATATGTCATATGGCAATGATGCGTACGGGCGCGTGGAACTCCCCCGCGCAGACGAGTCCGTCCTCCAGGTCGCGCAATGCTTGTGGCGATGGTGACGGGCGCGACGCTTGCGACGATAGCGATGACAGCGCGGATGACGCAAATGCCGACGGCTACGACAGTGGAGATGGGAGCGATACGATGGTGGCGACGATGGTGATGGTGATGGTGACGATGCTGAGAGCGACGGTGGCAACGATCACGCTAGCGATTCTGATGATGACGATTGTGCTGGTGCTGGTGCTGGTGCTGGTGCTGGTGCTGGTGATGATGATGATGATGATGATGATGCGGATGTTGATGCTGATTGTGGCGATGATGGTGATATTGATGATGATGACGATTATGACGAAGATGATGATGAGAGAGAGCGTGATCCACCGCCGCTTTACTGTGGAAAATTGCCAACCTTTTCCTCCGGAACCCGGGGGTCGCCCCCCCCCCCCCTTCGAAAATCCCCCCCCCCCCTGCTGAACCCCCCCCCCCCCCCCCCCCCCCGCCCCCCCCACCCCCCCCCCCCCCCCCTCCCCCCCCCCCCCCCCCCTCCCCTCACCGCCTACCGGTTCAAACCGGACTCCCGGTCCCCACCACCGTCCGCATCACATCCCCCACTGGTGTTCCCAGCACCACTGTCCTCACCACCACTGTCCCCACTGGTTCCACCACCGCCCCTACTGTCCCCACCAGTGCCCCCACCACTGTCGCGCTGTCCACGCTGTCCCCAGAACTGTTCCCACCACGGTTCCACTCTCCCCACTGTCTCCACGGCCCCAACCACTGCCCACTATCCCCACTGTCCCCACTGTCCCTCTGACTCCTCCGCTGTCCCACTGAGCTGTCCCACTGTTCCCACCACTGTCCCCACTGTCCCCACCACTGTCCCCACTGTACCTTTGTCCCATTGTCCCACCGCCGTCCTCGCCACCGCCTTCACCACTGTCCCCACCACCATTGTACCCTCCACTGTCCCACTGTTTCCACCTCATTCCCATTGTCCCCACACCACTGTCCCCACCACCACCGTCACCACCACTGTCCACTGTCCCCCCCTGTTCCCACCATTGTCCCCACCACTGTCCCCACCACTACCGTCCCCACCACTGTCCCACTGTCCCACTGTCCCCACCACTGTCCCGCTATCCCCTCACCACTGTCCCCACCAACACCGTCCCCACCACTGTCCGCACCCCCACTCGGTTTTCGAGGGGGGGGGGGGGTTCGAACCGGTAGTGACCCCCCCCGTTTTCAGGGGGGGGGGGGGGGAGGGGTTCGAACCGGTAGTGACCCCCCCCCCCTTTTCATGATGAGCTGGGGGGGGGGGGGGGAGGGGTTCAAACCGGTAGTGACCCCCCCCGGTTTTCCGGAGGGGGGGGGGGAAGGGTTCGAACCGGTAGTGACCCCCCCGGTTTTCCGCCAGCAGCGGTAGAACACGCTCTTTCGATGATGACGACGACACTGATGATGATGATGATGATGATGATGATGATGATGATGATGATGATGATGATGATGATGATGATGATGCTGATGGTGATGATCATGATGCTGAATGATTCTGATTGGGGCGATGATGATGCTGATGATGATGGTGATGATGGTGATGATGGCATTGATGACGATGATTATGATGATGATGCTGATGATGATGATGACGACTGTGTTGGTGCTGGTGCTGGTGGCGGTGGTGATGATGACGATGATTAGGAAATAACCCGACTGACGAGGGCGACGACTTCAACGATGAAAACGGTGACGATCTTTCCGACAATGGTGATGATGGTGATGATGATGATGATGATGATGATGGTGATGATGATGATGATTATAATGACGATTCCACTGACGCCGACGATAATGATAACGACTGCCCTGGTGAAAATGATGAAACAATGATTGCCTGCAGACGCCCCAGTGCCGTGACGTGCTCGAGATTGGACGCAGTTAGATTATCGTATGTGTTTGGGCACCTCTGTGCTGATATGGCTTAAGAAACCAGCGGTTTATGACACATGTTGTCGCACGCGCGCGGCTGCACACGCGTGTGGTCCGCATGGTTTAGTTTGACACAGTTGGTGGACGCGCGGTTGCCGTTGAACGTACATGCGCGCGCCAGTGGCCCGCATGCTCTGGCTTGACAGAGAGGTTCAATACCGATGGTCCCCGTAAGAGTCCAACGAATGCACGTGCAGAAGCAAGTGAGTTGTTGAAGAGGCACTTGGTGTGGACAGTTACGGACTAGCCACGCCCTGACGTACTTTATCCAACTATCGAATTGGATTAAAGATGTTGACGTGCGCGCGCGGCGGAGCGTGCATGTGCCCCATAATGCAGTTGCTGCACGGGCTCATCCGGCAAAACCGCGCCTTAGATAAACACAGGTGCACCGTATAATCTGCTTGTTAGAGATGGCTCGTGGTGCCGATAACAGCCTGGCGGGCATGCTACGATTTGATGTTTAGGATCGACGGTTGTGAAAACCATGTATGAAAATGCGCGGGGGGGGGGGGGGGGCGGAGGGGAAGGGGCGGAGGGGGGGGCGTTAACCCTGGTCTCGGAGTGTGGGGGGGGAGATTCTGTCTTGCAAAGAGAATGTAAATACACACATCGCGAAACATTGATACAAGCATATGGACTTACGCAGTAGGTGATAATCACTAGTCTTGGCCTGGAAACACGTAACAGTCGCTATCGTAACAACGACAACGATGCGAAACCGTCTCACCATGGCATTATCCTCGCTGGAAGGGGCGCGAACACTGTCACGAACCTTCCAAATGCTGGAGTGACCAATTGCCATGACCTCCCCGCAGGAGCTGATTCTCGGACTCTCCAGGAAAAGCACCATAAGTTGGCAGCGGAGCTGGAGTTATGGATCTGCATTACTACCTATGCGCGAATGTCGCCTCTGATCGGCGCTCGGCAAAGCCAAAACGAACCTCAACGTTCTACCGGCTCCAAGTCTGGGTAGCATCACAACTGACCGCGTAACAGAGCTATTGACGTCGAGAGAGCGTGAACGGCTTCACGCCATCTGACTGCTCATTTGATTTCATCACCAGGTCCCTGATCAGCATGGTGTTCTGAGCCATCTGCTTCACCTCAAATCGGAGGATGGCCAGGTCGAGCGCACTGGCATCGCCACGCAGGCGCTCACACCCTCTTTTGAACTCACTCTGGTCGATGTCGCCTGAACCGTTGCTATCCAACAACTGGAACAACCTCTCGACCTTGCCAGGGTTCAGGTCGATGGCTCGAAAATAAGCTTTCACCCGGGGGTCATGAATACGATCGTGAAGTTCTTCGAGGCGGATCGTGCCGCTATGGTCAGGGTCTAATTCCGCGAAGAGCTTGCCCATCTTGAAGAAGAAATCCTTCTTTTCCTGGATTTCTGTCTGCACGACGTAGTCGCGATCATGCTTGGACCTCTGAATTGTGTTGTCGATGAAGATCCGCTACCGCGTCTGCGAGATAACGGCATGTCGGAAAACTCTGCGCACCGGTTTTTCCGTGCGCTTTCCAACCTCGTTGCGCGCAGGTCCATACAGTTAACCCCTTACCTGTTTCTTGCTATCGCCCTTCCCAACCCCTCGTCTGAGCAAAGACGGCCAACATGCGCCCCGAAACGGCCACAGGGTACCAGAATCAGGGGGACGTAAGACCTGGGTACAGGGGACTGGAAATCCCCGACGAGGTCGTCAAAAAAATGACGAGGCCGAGCCTGCATTTTGACGAGGCCTCCCGCTGCAGACATCCCACGAAACTCCTCCTCGTCAAAATCCGAGGCGCGGTCGTCAAAAATCGATGGCGAACCCGAGTCCTGGCAAACCCAGGTCTCACGCTCCCCCGACAGAAGACCAGCACCCCCCGCAGAGCTTCAAGACGTCCCCAACAGATCCCCAAAGGGTCCCAGAAACCCTGAGGAGGCGCCCCGGGAGACCTCCCGCCCTCCGAGGACAGCAGGACGTGAGGGCAACCACGAGGCCCCGAAGAAAATCCCGAAGATGAAGGAAAAAATAGGAAAACGAAGCTGTGGGCAAGGAACCGGTGGTGAGGACACTCGCTACGTCAGGTTCGTGTCGTGACAACCCTGGCGTTGGTTTCTGACTCCGCATGGACCGTTCAACCTTGAACGATCGGCGACTGTGGATCGCTCGATCGTTCCATATAGGCCGATTCTGGGCCACTGGCGGCGTTCAACCTTGAACGCCCGCGGCGGGGTCGCCGCCGGTCGACACGACGCGAACCTACCGTAACGGGTTCAGACAGGTCACGAATCTACAACGTGTCTTACACTCAACCTCCCTTGTGCTGCGCTGCTGCGCTGCTGCCCTGGCACCTTGGCGGGGCTTGCCGCAGGTGGCAGAATAGCATTCACCACGTTCATCAGGGCGAATACGGACCATGACACGTAAACGTAGAACACAGTCGAATACATGACTGGCAACTTCTCAAGAGGCTTTGCGGCCTCTTGCCAGTCGATGCCTCCCGAGATCGACTTGAAGAGGGTCAGCATTGTTACGAAAACATCACCATAATACTCGATTAGTTCACCGTCGTCTGCACCATGGGAAGCCATGTATTCGGTCGCCCCCGCGGCAAAGAAAACCCCGAATACCATGAACACCATGGCCATGATAAACGCAAAGGTCGTCAATGGTACTAAAGCTTCGCATAACATGGACACCATAATACGGAGATCTCGAAAATGTACGAGAGACCGTACAGCACGTAGGATCCGCATCATCCGCACGAGCTTCAGCACGCGAAGCATTGGGGTTACTTGCGCGGCAGAGGCATATTGATCTGAGGAATTTGCTGCGATTTCTACATATGTTCCCAGAACGACAAACGCGTCGAACCAATTCCACTTCCATTCAGCTGAGTAGAAGAAACGGCAACCCTGAGCTATGATGCGTACAAGGGCATCGGCCGTAAACAAAGCACAGAATATGAACATGTATGTATCAAAATGCGCGGCTTCATCCTTGGCTGACATGTGCTTGGCGGAGTACTGGGTCTCCCACGCGATGATAATAGCATTGGCGAGTACGATTAAGGCGTTAGCCGTCTCGTAGCCCCAGTGAGAGGTGAAGCGCAGCAGCTTCGCACGCCAAGTGCCGCCGCGCTTCGCCGTCTTCTCCAGCCAGATCGACGCCCGAATAGTCTTGAGCTGATGGCACTGCTGAGCCAAGGCTTCATCGAAGACGGATTGGCCGCTTGCCACGGAAGTCTGCATTCGTCCTCGATGGAAATCCAAATGATGCTTCAGGTCATCAACTTGGGGCTCCTCATCCTGGACCCTGTCAGACGCCCTGATCCTTCCGGGGCTGCTCGGCACGCCCGGCGGCTCGATCAGGCGCCAGCCCAGCTTGCCCTGCTGGCGCACAGCGGATTCCGAACTGATCCTGCTGGCACGCTCATCTGCTCGATCGGCCTGACCCTCAGCCTTGGCCACGAAAGTCTGCAACCGGCGCCGGACTTCATGGTGTTGCTTCGTGAGCAGCTCGTCCAACTCACCCTCGAAATCCCGCAGCAGAGCTGCCATCGACGACTGCGGCTGCTGCGGCGGCGGCGGCGTCTGCTCCATCACAAGCCCGGGCAACGACGCATCGTGCTGCGCCGGGCTCTCGGCGTAGTCCGGCACGCAACCCACAAACATGTCCTGCTGGATGCTCTGCTGGCCACCGCCACCTTCCGGCATCGCGCCCGCGTTCGCGAGGGTGACAAGCAGCCCAGAGCTCTCGAGCCCTGACGGCTGCGGACTGTGGAACGATGGAGGAGGAGGAGGAGGGGGAGGAGGAGGAGGAGGAGGAGGAGGAGGAGGAGGAGGAGGAGGAGGAAGGAGGAGGAGGAGGAGGAGGAGGAGGAGGGAGGAGGAGGAGTGCCGATAGCACGATTGCAATTGCGCGATGCAGCCCGAGTCTGATCAGTTTGAGCACTGCCTGCTTCGGCGGAGACTCGGATATAAAATATGGATGGCGCTGAATCAGCGCTCTTCCGCCAAAACGGCAGCAGGCATCCACGTAGGTTGCCTAACTTCGCGCATCGCCCTCCCGCGATGCGCAACTCGCAGTTATCTTCGCGCCCTCTCGCCCTCACGCCGCCGCCCGCGGGAGAGGGCGGCAGTGCAGGCTCGGACCACGACGCGCGAGTCGCGCCCCTGGGGGGGACCTACAGCACAAGGTAGGGGGGAAGAGAACGAAACCCTCCCACGCTAAGGACTGCGCACGGCCACTTGGAGGGCATTCCGTAACACTACCACTTCTGTGGATGCTGGCCGACCCCGCATGGAAAAATACACGTGTCGGAACGCTTGCGGGCCCCATCCGCGCGCTCGCAGATCCACAATTAAGCGGGCAGAATGGTCTATGAGCTGGTCTATTGATAAGGAAATTTCGGACCACCTCGCGATCCGACCGAGCATATATGCCCGGAGAGCTCGCGGAGACGAGGCCCATGCCGGCGGCGTGCTGAAAACCTTTGGCCACAGATCTAAACAACACCTGTCCAAATCAATTGCCAAATCCAGCCAAACAAACATGCGCCCATCAGAAGCGACGTCGAAAGGCACCGGGTACAGCATGGCGAGAGCATCCTTCAGGCAGCGTTGGCACAAGAATGAAGACACCATCGCTACGTCATCGACGTACCTGCAACACGCCACGACATCAGGCCACTGCAGGCCCGGGGGGGTAAATCCTTGAAGACAGAGGTTGCTAACGTTCTCTACCCAACATGTCTCGGAACGGCACAAAATCAACGAAGCAGCGATTTTGCTGAGGAACCCCCCAATGGGAACACCATCGAACTCCCACACCACATCGCCGACACAAGCCAAGTTCATACGCACGAACCCGACGAGGCACATGGAGAGCTCCGCGAAGGTGAAAGTTGCTAAATCGCGTCGCGGGTTCCCTGGGCGCCCGCCCAAGAATGCACGACGACTGCGAGACCTAAAGACCGTCACTGCGTCGTGCGCTTGTGAAGCTGAGGCCCTCTGCAACATGAAACGCACTGCCTCGTCCGCATCCGTGGCCCGCACACTCTCGAAGAACTGACCTGCATCCGCCACTAGGCCTTCGAGGAGCCGCCGAGGGCCCGCACACCTGAAGCAAGAACACTGTCCTGCACCGGGCGACCTGCGCACCCGATTGATGCGTGCTCGAAGGACTGGCGCCGAATCGCGCAACCCCCAGACTTCGAAACCTGGAGTGAACATCTTGGTCACGGTTTCCAGACCACGAGAGAGGAGCCGCCAATTGCCTTTCCTCGGCCAGCAAGCGAAGCTAAGGATTTTCCTGCAACAACTGTGGCCAGAGCGGGTGCCAGAGTGCGGTTTTGTCAGAGTGTCCACGAAAACTTTTTCTTTTCACCGTATTGTACACATGCGGCAAAACCCAAACGCTCGGACAGATGCCAAGCCACTTGTGCAAGCGGTCGGGGATGGCTGCTCGTAGGGTGGTGTGGAGAAGGCTGTTCGCAGACTCTGGACATACTCCAGCCGGCCTCCAGGACACGTTGTTCGACACATACTGGAACAGGTTGAACACAAAACAACTTCGGGGAACGATCCAAGCAGTTTTCTTATCCTTGTCATCCCAGCAGATGTGGCAGTCGACCTGTGGCTGCAAAGCGCTAGAAAAAAAACGCATATTCCGTAAACGACTCACGCCATCGATCGCTTTGCTTGCCCATGGAGCGGTCTTGCTGGAATCTGCAGAGCGGCCAGAACCTCCCTGCAGACTTCCAGACACTCAGGCCAAACCACTTTTTGCACACTCGGAATGCTGTGGACCAAGCATCACGTGCCATGTCGTCCAACGGCACGCGGACGGGAACATCCCATCGTTGAGCTACATGGCGCATCCCCCTCCCAAACCACGCTCGGCGCACAGAGTTCGTCGAGGAGGAGGAGGAGGGGGAGGAGGGGAAGGAGGAGGAGGAGGAGGAGGAGGAGGAGGAGGAGGAGGAGGATGGAGGAGGAGGAGGAGGAGGAGGAGGAGGAGGAGGAGGAGGGAGGGGGAGGAGGAGGAGGAGGGGGAGGAGGGGGAGGAGGGAGGAGGAGGAGGAGGAGGAGGAGGAGGAGGAGGTGGAATGATGCTGTGGTTGTGCGAAGTCCTTGGGCTCTTCCTGTTGTCTGTCGCCGTCGCGACACTGCTGCCTCGGCTGCCCTGCGCCTCCTCTTCCTCCTTCGGCTCACCTGTCCTTCTTCCCCTCGTCCTGTCCTCCTCAGCATCCTTACTTTTCTCTCCTCCTCCTCCCCCTCCCTCCCCCTCCTCCCCTCCTCCTCCTCCTCCTCCTCCTCCTCCTCCTCCTCCTCCTCCCCTCCTCCTCCCCCTCCTCCTCCTCCCCCCCTCCTCTCCAGCACCTCTGTTTCCCTCGACGGCTGGACCAACACGACCACCAGCACTACCACCAGCACGACCTCCCTACGACGAGACACGATCACCTTCGCGACCACCACCTAAACGTTGCGGCCAATACCACGGACACTACGACCACCACCACCACCACGACCACCACCAACACGACAACCACCACTACCATTACGACGAGAAACGACCACCATCACGACCACGACTGCCATCACAACGACCACGACCACCACAACCAAGACCGTCACCATGACGACGCGACAGCTGCCTCCCATCACCCCCCTGCCTCCCTTCCTTCCTTCCCTCCTGCCCGCCTTGCCCCGGCCGCCCCTGCTTGCAGCTGTCGTCTCCTCTAGGACATTTGCCATGCTCCCACAGATGCATCTGCTCCGCGATGTGGGTCCGCATTTCCCCCGGGACAGGCCTTCAAGAGACCTGGCCCAGGCGGCGGTCCAGGCGCGACCCAGGACCTCAACCCCAATGCTCACAGGGGTCCCTCCGCGTGACGGTGGTTGGCGACCCACTCGACTACTCGATTGCCCCTGGGCAGGGCTGGGAGCGGGGGGAGGGGGAAGGAACGGGGGGGGAGGCAAGCCAGGCGCGCTCCCACCATCTCTGACATCGTATCCCTCCCACCCATCCCTTCCCATTGCGCATTTGTTTCATCTATCTGCCGACGGGTGGCATACCGGACCTGGAACCCTCCAAAAGACCCGATCGCATCATGCGCAATGAGAGAAGGGGAGCTGTGCACAATAGAAGAGGAAAGGAAGGCGGAAGATCAAGAGGATGAGCAGGAAGAGGATGAGAAAGGAGGAGGACGACGAAGAATAGCTGAAGCAGGAGCACAAGGAGCGGGAGAAGCAGGACCAGGGGAAGGCGGAAGGGGAAATGAACGGGGCGACAACGACGGGGAAGGACTCGAAACCAGAATTGTGGCCCGCGCGCGGGCGAGATCACCATTCTCGGGCTCCCCACCCACCTCACAAGATTCCAGAAATACTTGTATTGAACAAGTATATAATCAATCCATGTGATGGTTTGCAGGTGCGCGGGAGGCAACAGCCACATCTCGCGTTGCGCTGCGAGGGCCGGCGCTGCCCTCCAAGCAGCCAGCTCGCTGCCAGAATGCGCGCGAGCCGCCGCGTCTGCCAGGGGCGCGCGCATGCTCAGTGCCCCTCGGCTCGTCACCGCTGCCGCTGCTCCAATGGACGTTCGCAGCAGATCCCGCGCAGCAGGCGGCGAGTGCCGGAGGCACGCGAATGCGACTATTGTTGCGCACGCACCAGAACCCGACGGCCCAGGGTTGGGTCCGCGCGGGGGCCTGTGCTGTGTCCACGATTGTCGCGCGCGGGGTTCGCGCGGGGCTTGCGTCGGCCTCCGTCGGGATCTCGCGGGTTTCGCGAGGGCCTTGCGTCGGGTTCCGCCGCTCTCGCGCGTGGGCTCGGCCGAAAATAACGCGAGCCGCACGTGAGAAGCGCGCGAGGCCCGTGCCAACCCCGCGCGAACATCAAGGATCGCTTTTCTTTATGTTCGGCGATGACGGGCGTCATGGGGGGGGGAGGGCGGGGAGGGTATGACGTAACGACACCCCCCCGCCGTGTGGCTCCGGCACCGCAGCCGCGCCCGCGTGCACGACGCGACGAGCGACGAGCGACGAGCGACGACGACGACGACGACGACGACGACGACGACGACGACGACGCGACCAGCATGAAAGTGGCAATCTGCCCCAATGCGCCTGTGTACACCACAATGCTCGCGTGCACCACCACGCGCGTGTACAGCACAGCGCCTGCATAAACCGCAACAGCCGTGTGCAACGCACCGCTTGTGTACACCACAGTGCTTGGGAACACTACAGCGCCGGTGTACATGCACCGCAGCAGCCATGTGCAACACAGCGCCTGTATACACCAGTGCTTGCGTGCACCGCAGCGCCTATGCACGCCACAGCGCCTGTCTACACCACAGCATCCGCGTGCAACGCAGCGCTGGTGTACACCACAACGCCTGCGTGCACAGGACAGGTAGAAGGAGCATGTACGTGAGGATCTGCTGCGGACAACGAAACGCCACGCAAGGAAACCTCTGATAATCGAATGCGACGTTCTTCCCTCCTCCCCCGTCCTCCACCTCCTCCTCCTCCTCCTCCTCCTCCTCCCTCCTCCTCCCCCTCCTCCTCCCCCTCCTCCTCCTTACCCCCTGTCGTGCGGCTTGGCGCTACATCGCACGTGCGCATCTCAGCGTGCACCGCAAAATGGTCGATTGAATCGATCAACTTTGTTTTCGGACGGCCACTTTAGCTGGAGCCTCCTGGACGCAAATATGAGGAATTCGGGTGATCCGGGCGGACTCGGAAGACTCGTAGATTCAAGCGGCGCTCCTT